CCCCCAAAACCCCAAAACCCCATTTTACAAAATAGTAATAAAATATTAATATTAATTAAAAATAAACATACAAATGAAAAAATATATAACTTCTGTACTATTTATTATCTTAGCTAATCAAATATCTTGCAATAAATCTTGCTAATTTGCAAAGCTGTACTCGTCTCTAGATATCAAATAGAATAAAACTATCTAGGATGAGTTCTTAGAAAGAGTATTTGATTCAGAAATTAAATTCTTGAGGGAAATCGGTTATGATAATGTAAGTGGACTGGCAATAGAGGAGATACGAATTGACTCAAGAACTGGGATTCATTAAGCTACTCAATATAATAAACCCTTGTTTAATTTAGAGTCCGAAATATACCATTTAAGTATTCTAATGAAAGCTTTAGATGGGAATCTAAAGGCTAATTAAATTTACACGCGAGATATTGCACTTAAAATTATTCACACTAAAATTGAAACCTATTAAAAAATCAAAGATATGGTTCTTGAAGAACTAAAGATCAATAAAAAGTATGGCTATTACTTTAAAATCTGCTTGCAAATGATTAGTGAAATGTCTAATAATCTTGGTGATAAAAATACTTCTTGGATTATTAACAAATATTTCCTCAATATTTTTGACAGTATAGAAGCTATTCTAAAACTTACATCAGTTGAATTAAAAACTATTGAAATTTTGGATATTCTCCTGCTCCCTATTCTCGAAAATGAATTGTTTAGAATGACATTGATTCAACTTTTAGATTAAAATAAAGATTTGAAGGTCGAATAAGTCTAAGAAAATTTAGATTAGTAATAAAGCTTAGATTATGTTGAAATATCTTATCAAATGTTGATAAATAGACCAAGGGCAATATAAATTCTCCATCAGAGATTAAGCTTATAGGGCTAATAATCTCATTATGGAATTGTTGATTTCATTAATGAATTACCAACTTTAACATGGAAAGCAAAAGGAACATTAGTATTAGTAATGCTTGGAGGTATCTCTGATATTACAACTAGATACCTTCTGAATAATAACCTTTACTAATTCTTCTAGTAATCCTTGAACTTGTTTTAAAGACCAAACTCAATAAAAGAGATAGAATTTAGAATTAGAACAAAGTACTAAAATTAAGCTTTCTTTAATAAAGAAGACTATACTTCATGTAGACTCTCAGATTTTCCTGAGAATTTTGCGTTTGGAGTTGCAACAGCAGCCTATCAAATTGAAGGCGCAGCTAGAATTGAAGGGAGGGGACCAAGTATTTGGGACGACTTCTGTAAAATAGAGGGCAAGATTAATAATGATGATAATGGAGATGTAGCAGATGATTTTTATCACAGATATAAGCAAGATATTTAGATGATGAAAAGCTTAGGAATTAGGCATTTTAGAATGTCAATATCTTGGTCTAGGATACTTCCACAAGGTACAATTGATAGTATCAATCAAAAAGGAATAGACTTCTATCATGAGATTTTTGACAGCCTTATTGAAGCTGGCATATAACCTTGGGTATCACTGTATCATTGGGACTTACCCTCAGCTCTTTATGGAAGAGGTTCAAATGATGCTTGGTTAGGCTAGAAAATTATAAACTAGTTTAACGAATATGCTGATTTGTGTTTTAAGACTTTTGGACAAAAAGTAAAGAGATGGATTACTTTTAATGAGCCTCATACTTTTATTTGGTTTGGTTATGGATTAGGAATACATGCTCCTGGCAGATGTACGTAAGGAGTTAAAAGAGATGATTGTGAATAAGTTAGAGGAGGAGGTAATTCAAGTACTGAGCCTTATATTGTTGCTCATAATGTGATAATTGCTCATGCAACTGCTGTCAAAACTTATAGAGATAAATATTAGAAAGAGTAAATTGGTATGATAGGCTGGGCATTAAGCTCAGATTATAATGAACCTTTCGATTTAGAAAATCCTTAAGATGTTGAAGCAGGAAATACATAGATACTTTTTCAATTTGGCTGGTTCATGGATCCAACAGTTTTTGGTAAATATCCAGATAATATGACTAATCAAATAAGCGAGAATAGATTACCTAGCTTTACAGAATAAGAGTTTTAAATCATTAAGGGCAGCTACGACTTCATTGGAATTAATCATTATACTTCGAGATATATCACCACATAAAGTTAAGCTGGAAATGACTGGGAATCAGACTCTATGATTAAACAGTCGACAACTAATAAGGAGGGGAAAATTATAGGGCCATCTGGTGATTCTGATTGGCTCTTAGTTTACCCTTTAGGATTAAGAAAACTATTGAAATGGATTAATAATAGATACAGTACTATTGACTAACCGAACCCTCAGATATGTGTCTTTGAAAATGGAGTGACAGTTCCTGGAGAGAGTAAGAAATCATTAGAAGATGCAGTGCACGACTAATTTAGAGTAGAATATTATAAAGGCTATATCAGTAATTTGAGAGATGCTATTGTTCTAGATGGCATCAATGTGATTTCTTATTTTGCTTGGTCATTAATTGATAACTTTGAATGGAGCAATGGATATAGTATGAGATTCGGACTTGTTTATGTTGATTATAAAGATAGCCAGACCAGATACGTAAAGGATTCAGCTCTTTGGTATTCATTGTTTATCTAAACACTAAATTTGAACTCAGTTGTACCCTAATTAACTTTAGAGTAAAGAATCATTATTCCCATGCAAAATGAATAATAATTTGGAGTAATTAAGATAATATGAAGATAAGTTATTTTGAATAATTTAGACTTAGCTTTGTTAATGTTATTTAGAGCAATAATAAGATTTTATTGAAAACTTAAAACAAAATTTTACGTTCTGGGGTTTTGGGGTTTTGGGG